CAGCGTTGAACACACCTTTGGGTCATATTAGCACCTTGTACATGACTCTGTTATGTCATTCACTTATTTATTCATTTAGCAAATCCTTATTCTTTAGCGTTGTACCCAATTCCTTTTGGATTGTGAGTTTCTTGAAAGCGAAAATCATGTCCTGGTCATCTCAGGATCTCCAGCCTCTCCAGGGTGCTTGGCCCACTGACAGGGCCTGATAACTGCTGGTGGCCACATCCTTGGATGTTTGGGTGACATGCAGGACTTGGCTGTTTCCTGACTGGATAGAGAATCTGGGGTGCTGGGTCAGAAGGAGGAGCTGCATGCCACAGGTCACCTGGCTGGAGTCATTGATTTCTCTGCATTTTTTGCAAATCCCACACATCCCAGACTGTCAGGAAGGACCCTGTGCATTCTATATAGCAATGGATGGCAAAAATGGAACACATGCCTGATTTGCCCTCATGGAAAGTGTTTATTTTTCACATATTGTATCTGAGAATCTTAAGAATTCAGGAGGTCCAACCTGAATTCCTGGGGGTTAATCTTCTTAGTGATGCTAGCATACCCCCCAAAATATGGAACTTGTTACCTTGTAAGGCAGCCCCGCTGGTTATTGGGGGCCACATGTTATCTCCTGGCTACTTTGGCCATCAGTTCTAGTTTTCTTCTCTAGGACCACAAGGGAAAAGTTCCCTTCCTTTTCGAGTAGATATTCTACTTTGTGTTCATTCATTCATTTATACATACATTCATTAACTCCATCATCTGCTGAAAAACATTAGTAAGGCCTATTTTGTCCAAGACAGGCAGGTTCCCTGTTCTCATTGAGCTGACATCTTTAGAGGGGACAGACATCCAACAAGCACCTAAACAGATAAACAGGAGACATACAATTGTCACAAGAGCTGTGAGTAAAGGAAAATAGGGCAATATGAGGGTTGGGGCAAATTTCCAGAGTGAATGGGACAGGTTCCTTTAAAGAAGTAAATTTGAGCCAATGAGTGAGGGATGAGAACAAAGTACCCACACACGATTTGGAAGAAAGCAGCCAAGGAGAAGAATTAGAGGAAGAGAGGGTGTCAGTGTGGCCTGAGTGGAGGTGAGGGGGAAGAGAAAGGTAGAAATGAGGATGGAGATGTGGTCAGGAGCCTGTAGCCGTTGTAAGGAGCTTAGGACCTATGGTCGGAAAGAGGGTTTTGAAACAGGGATATGGTGTATAATTTTGAAAGGGGACTTTGAATATGGACCCTGAGGTAGATTCCCAAATCCCTAAAGACCAAGAGGAGGTGACCACTACTTTTATTTCAAAGAATCAGAAAGATTCTGATGTAGAGGTGAATTCTAGAAGTCCTAGAGAGAGAGAGCCATGATATCTGGGACCAGAGTCGCCGTATCCACAGACAGGCCACTGGATGCCCCTCTTGGAATGCTCTTGGAAAGACACCCTCTCTTTCTAGATAGCCGGATTTCCACCCCACCCCACCCCCAGGCTGTATCTTCCTCATGAGTTCTCCACAAACATGGACAACCAGGAGGCTAGCCAGCGTGAGACCTCACAGTCACGCACCATTGTGTTCTGGGAAAAGAGTCATTAGGGGTTTTCATCATTGCGTGATCATAGAGTGCAGTTACACAGACCTAGACAGTACAGCCTACTGCACACCTAGGCTGTATACCAAACAACACGAGACTGAGTCAAACACAAGAGATGATGTAATCACAAGACACGGTAAACACAAGATGTATGAGGCTGCTGCTGGTGTAACATGGTATACCATTTGCAGCAAACTTTTTTTATATATACAAAGATTACACTCTAAAATAATGAAAAAAAGTATAGGATTGTAAATACATAAACCAGTAACAGTCGTTCATTATCATTATCAAGTATTATGTACTGTTCATAATTGTATATGCTGTACTTTTGCATGCCTGTAAGCATAGTAGGTTTGTTTACACCCGTGTCACCACAAACACATGAGTAATGCATTGCGTCACACCAGCCTTGACAGGTGATAGGAATTTTTCAGCTCCATGATAATTAGGTGATAGGAATTTTTCAGCTCCATGATAATCTTTTTGGGACCAATCACACTAGCCTTGACAGCATTAGGTGATAGGAATTTTTTAGCTCCATGATAATCTTTTTGGGACCACCGTTGTTTCTGAAATTTGTTGTTAACAGAAATGCCATCATATGGCACATGACAGTAATGATTTCCTTCTGGAGCAGAGTGGAGTTACCCAACATGAGCCACCAAGTTTGCCGCCACAGTTGTCTGTGAGGGAAACCACCCTGCCAGGAGGAGGGACATCTGACTGTCAGAACCAGGCCCCCGAGGGTACTCACGGCAAGGAGAGAAATCGAAAGGGAAAGACTGATAGATTTGACTCAGAGGGAATGGAAAATGTGTTTACATGTCTTTTAAAGATGCACAGCCAAAAAAGCAAAGCTAAGCAAGCAACTAGTAAAAACCTTGCCACACCAAGTAGGTGAAGGTCAGCATCCTAATACACAGAGCTCACGTCAATGAAGAAACAATAAAGCTCCATTTGTTAAAAGCGAGAAAGATGTGAGCAGACTTTTATAGAAAAGAAAATGCAAATGGTGAAGGAAAATACTCAAACTCACTAAAATCAGGGAACTGCAAACTAAAATAGCAGTGGGATGCAGGGTATCTTTGGGGGAAAGTTGCCTATCAAATCGAAAAATATATTTTTAGAAAACAAGTGCTGACGAGGCTGTGTGGCTGGTGATGTACATCTTTTAAAAAGAGGTATTTTTTTGAGTACCTTACAAAAAGTTCATACCCTTTAACCCAGTAATCTCACTTCTTAACTCTGTTAACGAACTAGTTTTAAATAAAGGCATTAACTTGTGTGCAAAGATGTACATGTGTGAAATATTAGAAATAGCTTACTTGATAATAATAGATGATTGGTTGACTTAATTATGATATATCCATTCAGTGGACTATTAGGTGGCCATTAAAAATGATATTTTTGAAGATATTTTGGTAGTAGGGGCAACGTTCACACTATAATATTATGTGGAAAATGGCAAATAATACTAGAAAGTATGAAATCAATTATGAGTATGAGAATGCATATTATATACATTAAAAAATAGATAATTGGATTGCAATGTACATATAAGTAAACATGTAGAAAGGTCGTTAGGGATGTTCTCTGAGTTGAGAATTACAGGTAATTTCGTTTACTTCTTTGTGTTATACAAGGCTTCTTTCTCTTTACAAAATGAACGTGTGTTACGTTTAAAATCAGATAAAAGCAGAAAATGATTATGGTTTCAGTCAGTGCTCTCTATTGTCATCAGATCCCTGTTAGAGACACACACGTGCCCCTCCATCCCTTCCTTCTATCCTTCTTGCTATAAGAGCCAGCAAAGTGGAGCACAAAAAGCAGGAAAGCAAGAGGAGAGACCTGGCTGCAACTTTCTGCTCTACCATGGTTTTGCAAGGTGACCTGGGACACTGTCTTGCTACAAGCCTCAGTTTCCTCATATGCAAAATACAGGAGTTGGACTGGTTTGGTTCTAAGAATGCACTAAGGTCATAGACATAATAATTCCAAGCTTCAAACCCATCCCTCACCCTAACCACAGAGTGACGTAATTGACCGTTTCCTTCAGCACAGTGTCAGCCATACCCATGATGTCGCAGTCCACGTGGCCACCTCTGGACGAGTTACAACTTAACCGGGAAGACCCTTGCCATTTCCTCTGGAGATGAGGACGTGATGATTCATTCCTTCAACACGTACTTCATTCATTCCTTCAACACGTTCTTATTACACCCCTGTTTCCACGGCACCAGGCCCCAAGGTGTACAATGAGGCCCAGGCTCAGAACTATTTGAGAAATGTCTGTACCTGTATTACATTCTTTCCTTCCATCTTCAGTGGGAGCAAGTCCTTTCCCTTTGAGAGTTATTTTAATTTACCTTTGAATTATTTTAAAGAGACAATTTATTTGAAGCTAAATGTCTGACTCTGGATGAGCCAAGTGGATCACACCATTTTGATGTGAACCACCTACCATGAGGCTGATTTTCTCGTGTGAGTTAGAAGTGAGGAATCCAGAAACCGATGGATCCTTGGCAGCATGAGTTAAACAATGTGTCAATCCACCTGGAGTCGTGCAGTGGAGGACAAAGTGTATGGACTTGGAACCGATGATCTGAGTTCAAACATGGCTCCTCTGCTTCTCGGCTTTGTTACCTGGGAAATTCTTAACTTCTCTGAGCTGTAGTTTTGTTTTTGTTTTGTTTTGTTTTTTTGTTTTGTTTTGTTTTTGAAATCTATAAAATGAGGAAATAACTCCTATCTTAGCCATGACATGCCAGATGTATTTGCAAGCACTGATCAGAATGGTGTCTCCAGAGGGACCTAAGCATGTACTCAGTCATGGCATTAGTACTCTATCTCTTTCCTTGAAAGGGAAAGACACACTTGACATATACAAGGGAAGAAGCCATGCTGCATGGCGGCTGAGAACCAGGGCCACGAGGCTACACAGACCTGGCCTGCCACTTACCTGCAGCACATCTTTATGAATAAATGATTTAAACTTTCTGAGCCTCAAGGTACTCCTCTGTAAAATGGCTTTGATGGCAGCAATGCCACATCCCGGGACATTGCGAGAGAATCAGTAATAGGTGCATTCAGTGTAGTGCCTCTTCAGATTCGAAGTTGTTTGATCCATCTTTCTCTGACTGCTAATGAAATACTTGTTCAGTGTAGGACATTTAGAAAACAACCTAAAAAGAAACGAAAGATAGTGTGAGTCGTTATCAGCCCTTTTGCTGTGCTTGCATCTGACCCTCCTCATCCACAGTCCCGCACCCCATCCCCATTTTGAACTGAGAGTTCTCTGAGGGCAGCAACCACGCCAGGTTAGTGCTCTTCCCAGAAAGCTGTGGCCTGATGCCCTGGTGTCCCCTCAGTGCGTGACGTGTTAACACTAATGTTGGCACCTCTCTTGGCAGATCCTTCAAGCCGGACTTCATCCTGGTCCGCCAGCACGCCTACAGCATGGCCCTGGGCGAAGACTACCGCAGCCTGGTCATCGGCCTCCAGTATGGAGGGCTGCCCGCCGTCAACTCCCTCTATTCCGTCTACAACTTCTGCAGCAAGCCCTGGGTGGTAGGTGACGGGCCAGGCTGACTCGAAGTAAAGTGGGGGGTGAGGGGGACCCTCCTAGCCCTGAAGTGGGCCCATTCTCCAGCACGGAGGCCTCAGTAATGAAAGGAGCCTTTTTTAAGCAACTGAATAAGAAACTTGGATTCCAGTTCCCTTGTTATTGCCTAACAAATACTATGTAACAACATATTATGAAACAGTGTTATCTTATAATCATATTAGTAGTAAGAGGAGGTATGGTACCTGACTCTCCTTACTAACGTTCTGTCACATTGTTGTTAACAGCAGGCACTGTTTATTGAGCACTTAGTAAATGCCAGAAAACTGTGTTGCCTACTGTGCAATCTATTGTTATTGTGTGAAGTGGGCTCATGACTCCATTTTACAGAAAAAGAAACTCAGCTTCAGAGCATTTAAGGAACTCACCCAGAGTCATGTAGCCAGTGAGGGGGTGAAACCAGAATTCGAAGCCCTCTTTCCAACCCCAAGACTTGATTTCCTCCACCTTTTATTCATTCATTCATTTACTTGAGTCTCCATTTAAATGTTACCTGTAAGAGAGGCTTTTCCTAAAAAACACCCTTCTATACCTCCAAATACTCTCAAATCCCTTCCCCTGCTTTACTTTTCCCCCAAATACTTATCTCCATCTAGGATGATGCTTATCCATTCAGTTGTGGCTTTCATTACTAAAAGTAACTCATTCATGTAACAAATATTTATTGAGCACCTACTGTGTTCCAGGCACTGTTCTAACTTCTAGGAACATGGCAGTGATCAAATCTGACCAAAACCCTGGCTTCTACATTCTAGTGGAAAGAGGCATGTGCAGTACATTAATAAATATGGCAAATTTGCAATGCGTCATATAGTAAATGCGAAAGGTGGAAATAAAGCAGGGAAGAGGGTTAGGAAAGGAGGAGGTTGGGGGGATGGAGAACGTGCTCTGCGAAGCTCTAAGCCATCTTGTCTCTTGTTTTGTTGTCTCTCTGCATGGTCTCCTGGTGGCAGGGCAGTGGGTGAGAACAGGGACTCTGGAGCCAGACAGCCCAGGCCCAGGATCTTTCATCTATCAACTGTGTAGCTTGAGCAACTTGCTTAAACTCTCTGAGTTTATTTTCCATACTTGTAAAATGATGGTACTAATAGGGCCTTTCTGCTAGGATTATAAGTTAATACATGTCAAGTGCTTAGAATGGTGGCTGGCATAAAGTACACACTCAATCAATGGCGACAATTATTATTGTCCCTTGTACATGGAACAAGGTCTCTGCAGAGTTGGCACTCAATATTTATTGAATGAATACATGCATTAATTTAACAGATGTGGATAGTCTTCAACCACTATTATTGTGGCTCTGGTATCCTCATTCTACCCTAATTGAGATTTTCGGCCCATGGCATCCCAGATTCAAGTGTCATGGTCCTAAAAGGGTCATAGATAGTATTGGTCCACTTCTTCTGTTTTCCCACATAGTCAACTAACTGTGCACTGTGCTGAGCCCTTAACATGCTTATTGTACTTAATTCTCAGAACCTTGATGAGTAGGTTTTGTTAATTTCTCCATTGTACAGAAAACCGAGGCTCATGTAGTTAATAGTAAGTGATGGAGCTGGGCGTATCCAAAACTCGTGTGTTCGATCATGGAATTATTCTCCCTCTCTGGACGTCAGTTTCCCTATCTGTGAAATGAGGAATCCCCATCATTTGTCTTATATCTGAGGTCCCTCAAACCTTCTAATTGACTCCATGTTAGACCACACCTGTAGGCTACAGCACAAGAGTTTGCAGACCAATCCTGGCCTGATGTAGAAAATTCCTATGTTACCTCGTTCTCTCCATCCAAGCTCTTATTATTGAAGTACCCCCAAATCAGTCTGGCATAAGACTTGGCTCCCCTTCTAACCAATTGGTATCTAAACATTAGGCCACAAATTGTAGTTTATTCCTTATTCCTGATCAGAATATGCCTTGCTCTTCCCTGCTTATGTCCACCAGCAGCTCCCCTATGCCTGCCGGGTGAATCCCAAGTTCCTTGGTCCAGTTAAGGCTCCTGATGGTCTGTGGTAGATCACCCCCTGGCTTCCTGTCTTTCTGTGCTCCACACCCAAGGCCACAGCCATGGCAGCCACTGAGCATCTCCAGCACACACTAGTCTCAGTGTGCACCTGGGGTGCCCTTCCTCCTTCTCTTATGTCATCTGCTCTGGGGAGTCATTTCGACCCCCGCCCCCCCATTCTGCCTCCCTCTTGCCTCCCTCCAGCAAGACATTATTATCTCACCCATCTGCCCACAGTCTGTCTTCTCTCAAGGTCTGGTCTGCCATATTCAACTTGTTGCCCCAATGTTAATGCTCAAGGTCAGGCACAAAGTGAGTACCCAAGGATGCTGAGTGATGAGGGGTGATGGAGAAGAATGTAAGTCCAAGACCTGTCTTTTAGAAACTTACCCTCTAGTTCTGGAGACTGTAGGTACCTCCATGAAAGGGATGTGACTCTAGCTATTGGAAGCTAGTGGGGTTGTAAAAGCAGATAAAATATTTATTATTAATATCTAACATTTGAGTGTTCCTGTGGGCCAGTCACTGCTGAATCCTTATAACAATCCTGAGTTTGGATCTCTTATTTTCCCTATTTACAAATGAGGAGACCAAAGCTCAGAAATCTAAAGTGACTTCCCAGGATACGCAGCTAGTCAGTGATAGAGAATTTGAACCCAGAATCTACATCATAAACTATTATGCAATATATCTCTCTAGAAAGAAGAACATGGCAGGCAGGGGATGTGGCACGAAAGTCTGCAGGCTGTGCTTGTGCGAAATGCTGAGGGTGTAGTAAGTGCTCAGTTAAAGCCATTAAGCTAAACTCAGTGGGCCTGGCAGGAATGAAGAGGCTGATGCAGACAGACATTGGAGCGGATGAACATCCAGCCAAGGACTCTGGCCTTTATCCCGTAGGCAGGAAACAGCTACTGAAGCTCAGCTCAGAATGGTCAGATGCTCAAAGCCTGGGATGGAGTGGGAGGTTTCACCGTACCAGGTAGCAAATGTTGACCAATGTTCTCTCCTCTTCTGCCTTAGTTCTCTCAGCTCATTAAGATCTTCCATTCCCTGGGACCTGAGAAGTTCCCGCTTGTGGAGCAAACGTTTTTCCCCAACCATAAGCCAATGGTGAGTGTCCTTTTTTACTCTGCTTATTTGTATGATTTGGAACAAACGAATGTTTACGTTCTCGGTCTGTTTGAATGGAGTAGGTGGGCTCGGGGGCTGCTCCCTGACCACCAGGGCTCTAAGGAAGAGCCTTGATGTCCTGTGGAATGCCTGGCTTTCCGAAGGAAAGCGTCATCTCTCCAGGTGAAATTTTAGGCAGTAGGTCAAATGACAAAGGTGGACAGAATTCCTTGGAACATCAGGAATTTTCAGCAAATAAGGGGACAACTTGAACTAGCATGTTGGAGCCAAAGTTTGATGATGAGGGTAAAAGATGTTTCAGAGGCAGCATGTTATTTTACTTGAGCCAGACCTGGTTTCAACTCTTATTTTAATAAAAATAGTAATATTTGATTTGCATTGATTGTCGACAGGCAGTTTCTTGTATGTCTCGTTCACATTCTGACTTTTGAGTATATTTGAGGTCGTCTCTGGGAAGTAGTTGGAGCTTAACTTGGATTATGTGGTATCGCCTGCCATTTGCTGGATGGGAGAGGGTACCATCTATTCGAATGGGGTGGAGAGCGCTCTATGCCACAGCTAGAGGAAGCTGGGTGAAAGAGTTCTGGGCAGCTGGAAACAGCCCATGACATGCCCGCTTGCATCATTGGTGGTGTTCTTAAACTGGTCATAGGAATACAGGGCCGCAGCCGCACGCTTGTCTGGGGAAGACAAGTAGTGCTAGCTGGAAGCAGTGGCCTACTTGTAGAATTCCACGCTCAGGCTGCTGAGCTGGACAGTCCTGTGTGGAGACACTGATGGGTAGAACTGCAGGCTCTGGCGGGGGAGGGGGGGCAGCTGTGGGGGGAGTAGTCTCATCATATGGAGAGGTTTTCCAGTGGGGGAGTGTGGGGAGTAGTCTCATCATATGGAGAGGTTTTCCAGTGATTACCTTTCACTTATATCTGATCCAGTGAGAGCCATAGGATGTGCTGGTTGGAATAAGAAGGCCATGTGGACACTGGCATAGTCCAGCAAAGCGTAGACATAGTGGAGAAAAGTCAAGGTTCATCACCAAGCCAGCCTGAGTTTGAATCCTAGTTCTGCCTATGTACTAGGTCTTGGGCAGTGAATTAATCTCTGTGAGCCTCAGCTTCCATCGCTGAAAACCGTGGATGACAGTGGAACAATCTAATTGCTGAGATTTAATGAAATCATGTGTATAGAGTGTTATGCCTGGCATATGTTAGGTGCTCAAAGTAGAGTAGCTGTAAAATAGGGTCAAAGCTATACCCTAGAATGTTGTCAACAATAGAATGAAAATTGGAGGGTCTACAGCCAACTCGGCCCATTCAGGGTGACATCCCTAACTATGAGCTCTGGGAGGGCCTTGCCAGCTGCAATGAGGCCTCTTAAGTTGCTGGCATTCCCCACTAGGCTGAGCCACACTCAGAACTTCAGGCAGGCATTCGGCATCAAGGACTGCTGTTTGCAGCCTTCCCCCACTTCCACTTGGTTGAGATTCTTGGGAAGAAAACAGGGAAAGCCAAAGTCAGGGCTCCAGTCTGAGAACATCTATACCACTCATAGGTAATTAGATAAAGACCCAGATTCCGTAGCACTGTGGAGAACTCTGGCCATAGAATCAGGGAGCAAGGACCTCAGGGCTGGATTAGCAGCCAGGAGGAAATCTACGATGCCTCTCCTGAAATCCCTCCTGCCTGGTAAAGGACTGGGGCAGAGTGGAGCCAAGCTGCAGGAGTGGAGAGAGGGACGCATGCAGGGGTCTGGAGCCAGGGCAGGCAGGACTGAGCAGCTTCCAAGGCCCTCTACTATCTGTAGAACCCCCAATGGTGGTCAGGACACAAAGAGGCGAGAGACTGCAGGTACGTGATAGAAATAAAACCACTTTACTGTTTAGAATAAAGGACACACTATAAAAAGTGAACATTATGCAACATTACAAGACAATATACATTCACGGAATATAAAATTCATAAATAACATGGAGGAAAACTGTAAACAGTGCTACAAAATTTAGCAACAAATACATTCCTTCTAGACAGGGTTTTCTCTGGTTGGTTTCTCTCCATCACTTCTGGGTCTCAGGACAGCAGACTGGCTAAGGGAGAAGGTGGGGTGTGGGAGGATCTAAGCCCCTCTCCTTCAGAGTACGAACTGGTCTCTAAGTTCTTCCCCTCCTCACACCTCCCAAGAGCCCGTTCGGAGGCTGTTGATATCCACCTCTCCTACATGCCCACGTTTTGTTTTGCTTTAGCCATCAGATATTCAAAATTTTTCTTGCATAAAACCATTTATTGATATTTTTTACTTTAGGCAGCCAGAAGCCAAACACTTGGGTGTCATTTTAGGGTAATCCATATTGACGATCGTCAAGGATTAAGTATTGTCTCTCTTGGTGTCTCTGAGATAGAGCTGTTCCAATCAATCATTTATTTCTTGAATTGCTCAAGAACCGTGATATGAAAAATGGTGCTTGTGGGCTGTAGCTTGACCATCATATGGGTCTGGGGCTGGGTGAGGGTGAAGCACAGGAGTCTCCCAGAATTATCTACTTCCGCCAGACGGAGCACTGGCCTGAGAGGCAGAGCCTGGGCATAGCGCTTCCTGGATGGGGAAGCAGAAGAGATGGCCAGGGAAGGCCAAGGGATCCTGGAATTACAGCTCTCATGGCCCAGGATTTTTCGGAGAAATCATGGCTTCCTTATTGGATGGGCAAAGGGACTATGGGGAAAAAAGAAAGAGAATTCCCAGCAGCCTGCCCAGGGCCAGTTGGTACAGAGCAAGGACATGGATGTACTTGCTATTTTTCCCTCCTCCTTCTTACTCCAGAAAGCACTGGGATGCCGACAGAGCAGAGGCTGGAGGAGTCTCAAGTGCTAATTCCTTCTAGTTTCCCCAATTCACCAGTCTAGCTGCCTGCACAATAGAAGTATTTACCCTCCATTCCACTGTAGAATTTGATTCAGGAAAATGGCGGCATGTGGGTTTCTTTTTTTTTTTCTCTTAAACACAATGTACACATATTATAGCCTACACATGACATAAGATTTAGCAAAATAAAACGTTCACGATATGATTGAAATACAGAAGTGTCTCAGCTACATAAATGACTTTAAATTATACAGTAAGTGAACAGGTGAAATAAACAAAGCTATAGCTTATAGAAAGCTCCAAACCCACCCTCTGACAACATCGCTCTGCAAAGGAAACTTCTTTGCCCGGGACCTGCTGTTCTCCTCGCCAGGGCCTGGCAGATGGGACTGTGGTTCTGCCGACCTGTCTGCAGGACAACATCAGGTGACTCATGCTTAGGCCTCACCCCAAGTCCCTCCTATGTGAATGGAGGTGACCCTGCCAGGGACCAAGAATGGTCAGATGCCTCATGGAGGAGAGGCCGATGTCTGATTGTGGAAGGGCACTTGTGGGGGTTGGATCAGGGGTTCCACCTTGTAACACTTTGAGGTTAAAATAAAGAAAAATTTAAAACACCAAGTCTGGGGCCTCACCCCTTAAAAGCCACTAGCCTGCTGACCTCAGCTCCCTCTGCTCACACTGCCCCATCGAGAAGGCGACGCCTCCTCTTTCCCACATGCCGAATGTTATGACCACAGGTGAAAGGTACAAGGTAATGAAATCGATCCCAAGGAAACTGATGCCTGTACTGTCTTCCTGCTCCGGGGTTCTGCCAAACACCCTGCCTGGGCATTCGCGTGTGCGTGCAAGACATTACAATGTGTTGTCTGCCTCTTTTTGTTCTCCTGTTTTAATTGGCAGCTCTGTTTCCTAAAGCGGAATGAACTGAAGATACAAATGCTAATAGAGGAAAAATACCCATAATCTGAAAAAAGAGAGCAATCATGTTAAATGTCACCATCCTACCATCCCCAATTCTGTAAAACACACATTACTGTCTACTCTCAGCATCTCATTTTCAGCACTAAAACTTAAAATAATTTTATTTAATTGGAGAATTTATATTATAGTTTTATTTCAGAACAAAACCAACAACAAAATCCCTACAGCTGCTTGCAGAGTCAGGCTTCCCCTGTGACCACCAACTTAAATCCTTGAGGTAACGACCTCAGCAGGTGGCATTCACCCACTAGTGCACTGGAGTAAGAGGAGCAAGCTGTCCCCAAACCCAGTAAAGGTGGCCGTTTAGCCTTGGCAGGCCAATCCGCAGCTTTCCCTCCTGTGCCCAGGCCCCTGACCCACACTAACTCTCATCTCCTAACTGAGCCACGCCAGTAAAGCAGTTATATGAAGGCCCCAAACATGAAGCAGGAGAAAAGGAGAGGGACAAAGGTCAGATGACCCCAGTTAGAGGAATGCTGAGGGTGTTCAGAATCTCAAATTTTAATTAAAATGAAAAAAAAAAAGTCAACTTGGAATGTCATGATTTTCTTCAAACAAGCAACAACAAAATAGAAGAGATAAACTATTGGCGTATTTAACAGCATTGAACAGAATTCTGTGTCCTGTAAAAATATCAGCTTATGTCCCCGTGTGGGTATATGCAAATGTGTGTACAAACACATCCCCCTAGGTGAGCTAAACACTACTTTGGAAATAGTATTCTCTACCCAAGTCTACTTGGCTATATCTGTGGATAGTGTACGGTGTGTGTATTTCTCCAATTTACATAAAGGCAAGCTCCTGGCCAAATCTACCAAAGAGTTTTCCAGGAGGAAATAGTGTGGGAGGCAGGGAAAGGAAAGACATTCATCTCAGTCTTTCACCTGAGCTCTTGTACAAGGCAGGCAAATTGCCTCCTGACCTCAGGCAGATGTTTAAGTCTTCGTCAATTAAGAAAGTTCTGTTATTCTGGCCTGGCTGCTTGCTGCAGACTCAGGAACATCTGGTCAACCCAAGCATCACTGGGCTGGGGGAATTGTGTGTGTGCTACATCATCTCAGACCCTCTCTTAAAGTTTCTTCCTTCCCTCTCACACTCCTACATGCAGACACAGACAGACATGGTCTGGTTGGGACATGCATTAGCATCTCCTCGTTGTGTTAGATCTTCTGCATACCTTGAGTCTGTCTGCTTGCTGCCCTTGACTGATTCTGAAACAGTTGGCTTTTCAGCAGCTTCCTTGTCTGTGTCTTTTAAGGACTGGGGAGGAGAAGAAGGGCAAAGGGAGGAGGGTCTGGGTGATAACGAGGTGGGGAAGAGGAAAGAGGGGTAGGTACTACAATGCCCAAATGGGGTAGTTTTTTGATTTTCGTTTTCCTAAAAAAATATAGATTATGTTATCACGAAGGAGAGGAGTGTCCATTCCTCATTCTCTCTGGCACGGCACCAAAAATTCCCGGATGCAAATGGGTGATGTCGAAACCCAAAAGGGGGTGGGGGTAGGGGGCCGGGAGGATGTTTCCAAATAAACACCATAGGACAGCATAGACTTTAAGTGTTCGAAGTGCTAAATTTGCGAGAAAACAGGCACTAATTTCATTGTTGTCATCTGGGAAGAGTTAGTGTCCCAAGGGAAGCTCAGTGGGGAGGGAGGGAGGGAGGTGGGGCAGGGTCTGGTGTTCAGGGGTCTGTGGCATTGATGATGCTTTTGTCCGGGGGGGCCCATCCTCGGTACCAGCTGCAGTAGCCACCCTTCTGCCGGATGCAGGCATAGTGTTTGGACTGGTAGCCGGGGTAGCCGAAATTGGAGAGCATGTCGGTCCAGAGACACTCATTCTTGGAGCTCACAAAGCAAGGCAGGTAGTAGCAGGACTTGATCTGCAATTAGACAACAGCCATCGGTTGGTTAGTAGATCTGCCATGGTGGACCTGGGCCTTAGGCTTGTCCAAGTCTGGATTCAGAACCTGGGACCCCTGCAGGTGGGGCCCAGCCCCATGAGTCTTTTAGTGAAAGTAACGTGAGTAATACTCGCTAATGCTTACTGAGCAACTACTGTGTGCCAGACATTCTGCTAAGTGCTGCTATGTTATTCTCTTTAATTTTCATAACAGATATACCTCCCCTTTACAGATAAGGAAATAGAGGCTCAGATAGGTTAAGTCACTTGTGCCAGGTCACACATCCAGAAAGTGGGAGAATCAGACATTCGAGAGAGCTTTTCCTCTCAAATAGTAACAGGCAAGGATGAAAGATCTCAGCTGTTGTAGGGAGTTGAGGAATAAGAAAGGTTAAAGCATAAACTTTGGAGTCCAGCTGCTCTAGGCTGGAAACGAGATTTATAGACTAGGGCTACTTACTTAAGGCCTCTGAGCCTCTATTCACTCATCTACAAAATGGGGGTTATAGTAATTAAAATTGCACAGAGTTGTTGTCAGAATCAAGTGAGAGAACAGCCCGACTCCCTCCTACAGGGGGAAGACTGTGTGCCTTGGGTCAAGGAGTCGGGCCTCACTGAAGAGTCACTTTCTGCAGCAGGTGTTATCAGTAGTCCTACATCAGCTTTTCCACCTGGGGTGGGGGCCGCCAATGGGACTACTTGGTGTAGCAGCAGTGTAAGGACCCTGTCTGCCAGTGTAAGGATCCTATACCTGCCACCAACTTGAGCTGCGGGAGGGCCCAGGGACACTGAAGAACACTTGTGTCCCAGCAGCAGCAGAAAGGCATTCTTCCCTCGCCTTTTTTGTGACTCGGCCCAGGGGACAACATTCCTCACCACCCCCCTGCTCAGACCTGCCCCTCTGCCCTGGCCCCACACTCACTCCCTTCCCAGGCCAGCAGGAGCTGATATTTCTGGGGCTGTGAGCCAGCACCTCCCCTGCCTGCCTAGCTTACCTTGCAGTTACAACCCAGGTGATACCGATAGTTCAGCCCCTTGCGCTGGGAGATGGTGAGCTGGTCCCACCGCTCCACGAAGTTGCACAGTCCTGTGTACACCTTCCCATCGTAGATGCGCCCTGGAGGACAGAGGATGGAAAGGGGAGAGTTGTTTTGTCAGAAGGGAAAAAATTCACACCTACTGAGCACCCACCTTAGGTCAGGTGCTGTGCTAAGTACATTTCACCCCTGTGATTTTATTTCATCCTCCCTAACACATTTTAAGATGAACTGTATCCTCATTTTCCAGATGGGAAAATGAACTTAGAGAGGTTAAGTGATTTGCAGAAGGTCTCAAACCATGACACATCAGAGCTGGGACTAGAGACCAACTCTTTACTTCCTATATCAATGGTTTCTGGTTTTGTTATTTCTTTTCCTGTACTGACTACCTAAAGGCGGGTGACTTTCAAAGACAGACCTAGTAGGTTGACTGTGAGGTGAAGAAGAAAAGGTAGTGGCAGTCTCTCTTAATTTATAGTAGAGCCAAGAGACTGCAAGAACTAGAAAATTCTTCCACAGGCTCAGTGGTGAGGCTGAGACAAAAACTCAGCCTCAGCGTAGGAGCCTTAAGCTCTCAACACTGGCTCCGCAAGATGGACTCAAGACTAGGTACTCCTGACAAGTCACTGGGCAATGGCAAATGTTCTCAGGACACTTCCAAGTCAACCACTCCTTCTCTATCCTGAAGTGGACCTTGACCAAACCCTGGCCTAGATGCTAGAGTTAGCTGTTACCTGTCAGCAGGTACTGGTACTTGTTGACCTCCAGCTTAACGCCACAGAGACTTTCAGAAGCTTCCGTGTGGATGTACTGCACGTGGGGCATCTTGGTAAAGCCTCGGTACATCTGTGGGCAAGAAGGAATGTCGTGAGAGGGAGACCAGGGCTCAGAAAGCATGCTGTCATTGGGTCTATGGTTTGAAATCTGATTCCCCTAACTGGCCATCGTGCGGCTGGTCACCAGCCTATGCACCCCAGGTCCTTCGCTCCAGATAAGGCCACCTCGTCTCCTCTTGACTGAGCCATCACTGGTGTTTTCCCAGAGAAACTTTCCATAATACTCTCCTCTAGAGACACTTTTCTCAAACTCCAATACCTTTATAGAAATCTAAAGACAAACGTGCTGTGGAAGGGGTCCTGCCTACCTCTCCAACCTCGGGACCGGAGCTCCGAGAAGGCAGCCAGCCAGCATTCTCATGACATCTTTGCGACATTTTCCAGTATATAAAAGCATTCTCACATTCTCCTCACTGTAACCGCACAAGAACTCTAGGAGGCAGGTGTCATTATACCCACTTTACAGAGGAGGACTCTCTGTAAAAGCTCTTTGGGTGGCGAAAATTGAACTCAGGCCAGGGGTTCTCCATGCTTTTATTCTTCTGAGCATCAGATGAAAGCATTGGGTTCTTTTACCCCAGATAAAGCATATAAATCTGTTCAATTCTCCTAGATTGTTAACTAAACACTTTAAAGTTATGAAATTGCTAATATTTGGGCATTTTTATCTACCACATCTGATACAATAGTTCTCAACTGGAGGCAGTTTTATCCCCACCCCAAGAAATGTTTTCGGTTGTTGCAAATGGGAGGTGGTGAGAGGGGTTGCTACTGGCATCTGTGCATAGAGGCCAGGGATGCTGCTAAATATCCTGTGATGCACAAGACAGCCCCCACAGCAAGGAATTATCTGGCCCCAATGTCAGTAGTACCAAGGTTGAGAAATTCTACTCTAATATTAACATATGACAGCTCTATGAGGCAGGAACTTATGCCCATTTTATAGATGAAGAGCCTGAGGCCCAGGCAGGCTAATGACTTGATGAAGGCTATGTGGTTGTTAAATGGCAGGGATCCACAGGGAAATTTGACCCGGAGTCCATGCTCTTTACCATTATCTTATGATGTTTCCTACTGCAGCCTCACAAATTCATGCCCAAGGGCCTCTGATGCAGGCAATTGCCATTTATGACTACTGTGCCTCCTTTATCAGCCTGCTCTCAGAGCCACTAGTATGAATATAATGGAGGCTGAACCCACTTGGTGATGCCAGGTCAAGTCCATGAGCATCACATAGGTCTGTCCAGACAACTCTGTTAACAGGGTGAGCTGGTAGGGGTGTCACCCAGTCCCATTATCCCTCCAGTTCTCAGAGTCCACAAGCCCTGGACTGCTGGTGGCTTCTGGGCTTATCTCAATGGTGTACAATAGGACAATGTCTCCACTTCAGCTCTTGGCATGCATTATTAATTTACTTATGGTAATTAATAAAAAGCCAGACATCACCTCATTGGTGTCTCATCTAAGTGACTCCCGTTTGGTCTAATGGACTATTTTTTTCTTAGTCTTCTTTTAAGTGGCGACTGACTGGCAGGGGTAGGTGGTCCACGAGGAGCGACAGAGTTTGGGAGCCTCTGCCTTTTAAAGGGGAGCAACCATCAATGCACATGGTTTTAATTTACCTAGCCCCGCTTCTTAACCCATTTCTCTTATGAGACTCGCCACTGAACGAGGAAACACAGCCAAGCGCTGTGAGAAGTGCTGTCCACACTCAGTTTTCAATTATGCCACAGGGAGCAGGGGTGTGTCAAATCCCCCCTCCCCCAACCAGTGATGGATGGTGCCTCTCTGGCTTTAACAAGAACCATGCTCACGAGGGCTGCTGTGTGCATGCCATCAAGTGCGGCTTTTGAACATCTCACACACTCGCTTCTGAGCCCAGCACCTTCTCATTTTGGTGTGGGTGATCCTTGAGTTTTCGGCAAATGTTTAGACTCAGTATTGCCCTAGGTCTTTCGGACTCAGCCTGTTGGAGCCTTGTTTCCTTCTCTGTCAGTCTTTCCTCTTCATCTCATCTCTACTTCGTGGGTGAGAACCAAGCGCCTGTGTAGAGTCCAGTAACTTCAACTGGTCAGTAAGAACTTGACTGATCAAAATCAGCTTGGCATCACTGCTACTTTTGAATTTATAGGAACCCTTATTTTAACACAGCTTCTGGCACTAGCACACAGAGTCCAAATTATGACACATTACGAATGACTGGGTCTGACAAACTCAGTGCCGCCTTGTAGGGTGAATTCTGAAAATAACAATATGGTTAATGTCTGATAAAGGCAGAGTTATTGTCTTTTTGTTGTCTCTTCTTTCTAATAATCCTATCCTGACCTAAATATTGACCCTAAAGTGTCATGTGATCTGTAGACCTAGAATTGTCATAGAGACCTAGAATTGGTTTGACAAATTTAAGAGACTCTCAGACTTGGAAAAGGATGTTAAAGGTGATCTAATCTAACCAGTGCAGTGAGGAGACAGACTGAGTCTGAATATTGTCTCTGCCATTTATTAGCCACTTAGAAAACTACTGTTTCTTCATCTGTAAAATGGGGCAAAGCACTTACTTTGTAAGGTGCTTTTGAGAATTAAATGAATGTTGGTGCACAACATTCAGTAAAGGTTAGCTCAAAACCAGTTAGTAATGAGTGTGTCTTTCCCCAAACTCATCTTAGTGGAAATCATTAAAGCTGGTTTGGAACTGCAGATATGAGAGGGCTGTTCTTTTTCTCCCCCAGCTTTACTGAAGTATGATCGACAACTAAAAAGTGTATCAATTTAAGATATACAACATGATGTTTTGATATGTGTGTACATTGTGAAGTAATTACGAAAATCAAGCTAGTTAACATATCTCTCACCTCATATAGTTACTTTTGTGCGTGGTGAGATCACTTAAGATCTACTCTAGTCTACAGTACAGTATCATTAACTATAGTCAGCACACTGCACATTAGATCTCTAGAACGTATTCATCCTGCATAACTGCAACTTTGTACCCTGACCGACATCTCCCCACGTCCCCGCTCCTCCCTGTCCCTGGTAACCACCATTCTAGTCTCTGCTTCTAAGAGTTTGACATTTTTAGAATCCACATAAAAGTGAGATCATGCAGTGTTTGTCTTTCTGCGTCTGGCTTATTTGACTTAGCATGTCTTTTAGGTTCGTCCTCTTGTCACGAATGACATTTCCTTCTTGTTTAAGGCTGAATAATATTTGTGTGTGTGTGTGTGTGTGTGTGTGTGTGTGTGTGTGTGTGGACTCTCAAGTCCCTGGGCCTCCTATCTTGGGAATATCCACACAAAGTTCTAAGAAATTTGCTTCCTTTGAGGTGAAGGGACAGATAAGTTGAGAAAGAAGTTTCTGAATCTGAGGGAATTCACATATTTTATATAGAATGTCTGTTCTTCACTCTACATGGACAGCATAAAATGTCACCATTGTGTCAGAAATTTCTGGCACGCCTTCCGAAGATCAGCACTGTGCTGCCTGCAGCTTTATATCTCAAACTCATTGACATACCAAGCAACTGAGTTTTGCAGCTATTCATCGACTGAGATGCCAAGTGGTGGCCTTTCTCCACCATATAGAAGGGCTGTATAGCTGGGGAAGCAGAGCTCATGAGAATGGAGCCGGTCTCTGCCGAGGGCTTAAGAGAGACCCAGAGCATAAAGAGTCACAGGCAGTGGGAGGAGGAGAGGGTTCCCTGTGTGCTGGAGCGGGAGTGTTGGAGAGGCTTCCAGCTGGAGCTTCAAAGGCGAGATCCTGCTATTGCTCATTTGATTAGACAAACCACTGAAGGAAGGAAGTCCCTGGGGGCCAAGCATTCCAATTGCCCATCAGATCTATCCTGCCAGAGTCAGGACATGCACAGCACATGACCAGCAGACCTCCCCATGGGACCCTCCCAGGGCCATCTGGGACAAAGTGTCCCCCACGTGCTGTCTCCTGCAGCTGGCCTAAAAGCATGTGTCTACTGCACAAACTACAGCTCCTGGCAGAGCAGACTGCTTTCTTTGTGGTCCTGATAGGAGATAAGGTCCCCAAAGATTAGAGCAGCCAATTCTGGAAACTTCCACTATTGTACCACAGCCCGGTGGCTCAGCTCCAGCTAATCTCCAAGTTTGGGTTTGTAATGAGCACCCTCAACATTCTAACACCCTCCTCCCCACCACACACCTGTGGGTCTCTGCACACTCAAGATGTGCCTGAGAGATGGTCCAGAGGCTGTGGAATTAGCATATGGGAGAGGGTCTGCCTTTCTTTCATCTGGGTGAGAAGTTTTTTTGGGGGGTTGGGGGGAACTCTGAGAATGAAGAGAGAGGTCAGTCTTGAATTCTCACGTTCTCGGAGTTCCTTTAGTCCTGCTCTAAAGGAGCCCTTGCTTACTCCATCTCGCTCTCTGGGGAGACGCTCTAATCCGCTAGAACAAAGCGCCCCAGGGACCTGTGCCAAAACTCTTGCAGGCTCGCCTCTCTCACCTCTCCCCCTTCCCTCCTACAAAGAGTTTTTTTGATACACCCTTTGCAGGACAGATGCAAGTCAAGAGCTACACTGCCACAGGACAAACTCACAAACTCAATCAAGCTAACCTCTTTTTAGTCCCTGAGGGAACAAGGTACAGATGGGGTGGGGGTAGTCCCCAAAGTGGGCAGGAATGATGCATGAGCCTGCTGCTCCACTGCTCTGTAATCTCTTTGTAGGCAAAGACTATCGTTTGGCTCTGGGTTGCCACTTTCTAGTTACGTGACCTTGACAATGTGTATCTGTTTCATAGGGTTATTGTGAGGATTGAGCCATGCAAAGGCTTAGCAGAATATAGCAAATGCTCAATAAATGTTACTTGTCCAGAATCTTCTAGTCATTATAAAAATATTATCTTTATAGCTGGAAGCACAGTGCTAAGCACAGATAGAGTGGGGACGAGGGGAGAGGGAAGGTGGTGGGGGCAGGGGTTGGGTGGTCTACTCCTATACCCTGCATCTTCTCTGATTAGCACACTGGTACCTGCAGACCAGCAGAATCCAGTGGCCTCCATGGATAGAAGGGCCATGACCAGTTCTATGGGTTATCTATTATTGGGCCGGTAGGAGGGATAAAAGGTAGGAGAGTTAATAAAAGGCATTAGAGATAGTGGATAATGATCAAAGTAAGATGGCAGGGAGATTTGGGGAGTCGTAAATAACACACAGGATTGAGAGGAATCCTGACGCCTCAGCTAGAGAACCAGATCTGTATTTAATTAAATGCACGACTCTGAGCAAGTCACTTCCCCTTTGAGCCTCTGTCAGAAGTAAAATGAGAAATTTTATTTCTAAGGTCCAGCACTCTGACTCCATGGACCTGGGTGAGATGGACAGCATCCTGGGAACGGGTGTGTGTGCTCTGAAGCTGATGGGTGAACAATGTTATTTGGCCTCTAAACACTCCCACCCTCCCCCAGTGGCTGGTACAGCACCAGTGAGGGGAAATAGGACATTGTGCCCACGGAAAGGGCCTCTGACCATCCTGGTGTCCAAGCCCTGGAGGAAGGAGGGCAGCTAGACAAACTTAGGAACCACTGCCTCCCAGTTCTCATCCTCAAAGCTCTCTGCTGAGCACAGAGTGTCTCAAAAGTGAAGGATTATTCCAGAACAGGCGGAAAATGTGCTTCCTAAACCTCTGCTTTTGTCTAATATACTTTGGCATTCACTCGCCAGCTGCCAGGGGTTGCACAGCGGGTTTTGGGGTTGTTTTGTGCTCTTATTGGTGCCCCCCTCTGCCTACTGTTCTCTACCCATGGCCATCTGAAGACATAAGCTGGTCCCATGACCAAGCTTGGGCAGCCAAGGGCAACGGGCCAGGGCTGACTCTGGACGTTACATAATCAGAAGGCTGTGGACATTTCCAAAACTGAATCCAAAGCAACAGGTTCTCCAAACTTAGGATATCTAACCTCAGGCCTCAGGATGCAGGAAGAGTGAGGCCTGCAGGTCGGCCTCTGGGATGGATGGGTACCAGTGGGCTGTGTCACTCCCTGCACTCATTCCCCGCCTGGCGTCAAGGCTTGTCTCCTCTAGGGAGTCCAGGTCAATGGGGTCTCACCCCCATTTTCGCATTAGATGGATAAGCATTCACCAAGTCCCTGTTGCATGACAGGTCCTGCCTAATTGCTGGGGATGCAAATATGAGCAATGAGTAAGGGGGCTGGGAGTTCACTTGGACCTGAGTGCACCCATCTCGGACTTCTGATGAGTCAGGCACCCATGTCTTCTCTCCCCACCTGACTGTAGTCCCTAAATGCAGGAACCCTATCTTGGAGTGGCCTCCCCAGCTCTTAGCACACAGCACTGCACATAGGGAGGTACTCACGAAGGTGGGGTGATGGACCAGCCGCCAAATTATTCAGAGTGAATCCCACACCCTCTGTGCTGAGGCAAACCTAAGTATTCCCTTCCGGCACCTAGAGCAGCTCCCACTTAGAAGTAACACGGCCAGTATCCCAGGGCACTTAGAACCCTGAAATGTCTGAGCCAGAGGGCTCTCAGGGGCACCAAGCCCAACCCCCACACTGTTAGATGGCAAAACCAAGGCCCAGGAAAGGGGGTGATTCCAATGTACGCAGCTCTTTAGGAGCAGGGCCAAGACCAGGAAGCAGGTTCTCTGGGTTTTGGATCTGATGCTCTTGTTTTCAAGCGGACTTCTCTGATGTGCTTCACAGTGGTAACATGCTCCAGACTATGTTTAGTATGTGAATGTGCTCAGTAAATGGTGCTAACTAGTAGAGATGCAAGATGACAATTAAAGCTGGGAAAACAGGCAACGAGGGTACAGTTCCTATCTCAGGGTGAGGTTTCTGTGATTAGCGCAAGTTCAGTGTAAAGATTCAAGGGCTAAGTTGCAACCTCAGTGGCTATACAAGACCTATAGGCATTGTGGAAACTCTAAAAGTCAGAGCTTGAAAGAGCCCACCAGACAACCTAGTCCAACTCCCTTGTTTTATATATGAGAAGACTGAGGCGAAGAGGGGCAGTGACTTGGCAAAGGTCTCAGAGCTACCAGGTAACAAGGTTGTCTACTGTCTGGTTCCAGAGCCCAGACTCTTAATAATTGCCTCCGAGGGACTCCACCTGTTCTGGCTATGGGATGAAGCAGCCACCATTCCCCCCACGTCCCTCCCATCCCTTGCTGCTGCCTCAGCAACATCCTCTCCAGCAGGGCGGAAGGGTTGGGGCTGGGGCTCAGACACTGAGCAAACACACACTTTGGTTCCAAACCACTGGCTAGGCCTCTTTGAGGGGGAAAAAACAACAAAAAACCAGAAACCCTCCTGGAACCGGCTGCTGTCACTCACCTTCATCTGCTTGATGGTGTAGACCAACGTGCCAAAGGGCCCTTCCTTCACCAGCTTCTTCCCCACCACTCTGGCCCGGATCACTGCAGAAAAAGGCAAGACAGAGACAGGGAGGAGGTTAGGGAGGCCTGAATTACATCAGAAACCACATCTTGGAGTGGATATCCGGCCCCCAGGGTGCCTAGCATGGCTTTCTCACCTTTGAGCCAACTAGAATAGATAACTGTGTTTATCAGAGGAAGAATTCAGATGAGAGACACTGGGGGTGGGGAGGGAAGAAGGGGAGGCAGTCATCATTCTAGTGATTACTCCAAATGTTCACAATTGCCAGCCCTGGAAATCTCTAAGCCGCATTCATCCCCGGCAGGTCTCTGGACTCTGTGGTTTCACCCTACTCTAAAATCTCCTTCACCTGTTAGAGCTTCTTGCTCTCCCTCCATTGCCCATGGTCTATCAGGCCTACTGTCTTTCTGCCAGAACCCCTTCCTGAGCCTCATTTGGTGCTCCTCCTTTGCGTGTATAAATTTACCATGTCCTGACACATCCGCAGAGTTATTATGCACCCCAGCCTCCCTTCATGCCCCAGTCAGTATTCTGATGGCAAAGGCTGTGGGACAGCCTCATTGAGGGTGTGGTGGAGGAGGGAGTGGTTGGGAGTGTGGCCCAGGAGCCAAGTGAACTGTTCCAATCCCAGCTCGGCTGTTTACAGCTGCTATGACAGTGGGCAAGTAACTTTGTTTCTGCGCTCCAATTTCCTCTTGTAATAAAACCAGGATAATAATGGCACCAACTACCTGAATTAAAAGAATTAGGCAAGATAATGCATGTGAAACTCTTGGCACTGTGTCTTGGACATAGTGTACATTATATAAATGCTAATATCATCATTATTATCACCACTGCCAAAAATGGAATGGGCTGACCACAGAAGGACTGTTACCAGAAAAACAGCTCCCACGGTATACCTACCTACTGTGTGCAATAGTACATATCACTTATTTATTTTCACAATCACCTGACAAGGACAATATTAGCATCTGCATTATACAAAATGACAGAGAAGTGAAGCCACTTCCTCCTTGTGAGCCTCAAGTTTCTCATCTGTAAAGAGGGCATAACTTCACCTATGTCAGGGAATTGGAATAAGGATTAAACGAAAGAGCCTATGAAATTTCTCACTACAGTGTCTGGGAGAAAGGAGTTTCTTAGTAAATATTAGTCGACTATGAATATAAAAATAATTAGACCCAGTGTGATGAAGGCTGGGAGAGAGGCATTGCTACACTGAGTGGGGACATAGAGAAGAGAGGGCTTGACTTTGAGATTACAGATAAGATGGAGTTATCTCTTTTTCACTTTTTGTGAAAAAGAAGCACTCAATAGCTATCTTCAGAGATATATAAAACCAGAGGACAGAATTCAGAAATTGCATAGAAATCACGTTCACTGGCTCAATCAAAGAAAAAGTCATCTACTAACAAGAAGCAGTAACAAAAGTGTGGGGAGGGGGAGCAGCCATAGGGGCAGAGAGTCTCCATCAAGGGGGTCTACATCCTGTCATGCTAAAACCTTGACCAGAATGGAATAGATTTTGCATGTATAGCCGACACACACACACACACACACACACACACACACACACATATACCCCCTGCCCTTTCTGGTCGCTCTGTTATCCTTCCCCATTTCTGCATGTCCCACCATGTTTCTCAATTCATTGACTTTAACCTCATAAAAAATTCTTTACTAGGAACCAAATTCCCCGATCCCAACTGGATTCTGTCCTGTTCCTTCCCAAGTGAGCTTGGATCCTACTTTCCCAGTCAGACATGAAGTCAGGACTCATCTGAATTAACAGCCCCTCCAGACCTTCTTGCCAGGATGGCAAACACGGAGCTTACTGGCAAAGTTAGCAATTTTGCTGAGACAGCTCAAATTGGGAGGAGGAGAGGGGCTGTTTCCAAGTCTGCTGTAAAAACGAGAGGTTGGCAAGATCCCAGGCTGGGCTCCCTCAAGATTCTGCCTGCACCTCTGTGTCTAACTTCATAGCAGCATCCTCGGCAGGAAGCCATCCTCCCAGAGGCCCAGGGACTATTTCCTCTCCGTTAACTCCCATAGGCAGGTTGTAACAGCTTAACTATTGGGCAGAACGTATATCTGCCAGGACTTTTCTATTGACTCTTCCTGAATTGATTTGGCTCCATCTTCTGCTGCTTTATTAACACAGAAGGTGAACAAGGGAATGAGTCTTTGCTTAGGGAGGAAAATAGCAAAAAAGTCCTTTAAATAGCAACATCTACCCTTTCCTGGCTCAAAAAAATGGCTTGACTTCATTTAGACATCACATGTCATAAGCAGACCTGTCCCATAAACCTAGGTTCTTCTGGAAACCTATGCACATACAGCGAGCCAATTCCTTCCTTCCCCTGAAATGGCCTGAGCTTGGAACCTTTTCATCTGAGAATAGTTGTGTGAAAAGCGTGAGTGTTTGTAGACAGGAAGTCACATCTGAGTTTGAGTTCCACTATCACCATGTGGCCTCAGGCAAAACCCCATGTCCCTGTAGTTCTTTCCTCCTAAATCTCTTTGATTGTCTTGGCCTAGTGCCCCTCCCGTGGCTAACAAGTGATGTACTTATTACTAGTGGAGCAGAAACATGGCATAGGTGGCATTGAAAAGCCTGGGCTCTGGAGCCTGACTACCTGGGTTCAAATCCCAGCACTGGCACTGTGTGACCTCAGGGAAGTTACAAAATCTCCCTGTGCCTTCATTTCCTAATCTCTAAAATGAAAACGATGATTACAGTACCTCGTAAAGTCGCCCTGAGGGTTAATTAACAAGTACTGAGAACAGTGGCCCAGCCGGGCCCCACGTGCCTTCTGTCACTGTTATTAATACTGCCACCACTATTGTGAGTTTTACCATTATTCGTCCCTCTTAGAGTATCTTTAGGTTTCTAACGTGCTCTATATGCTAAGGCCTAGGGGTTTGCCTTAGGATAGGAAGAAAAGGAAACGTATCAATATACTCTGGCCTTGCAGAATTTCAGAGAGAGATGGGGGAGCACACGTGAGCTGGTCAGAACAGAAGCGCCTGGGGCACCTACTTCATCACAGACATCTGTCCCATCTCATTGCCCACGTGTAACCCAAGGGCAGGCTACCAGGACCAAACGGGATCCCGTGGACATGGTCCAGAAAGCCTGAGGCCGAGATGGCCTGGCATAGAGGCCACACCGGTATCTTCCTTGCAAAAAACAAAACTGCGCTAAAATTAAATAACATTCTGCTCTCCTAAATAGATTCACAGAGTCCTTCCAAAGTAAAATTGCTGGCCAACCCCAAATCCGCCTATTTGGTCTTTGAATTAATATGTCTTTATTTGCTTCAGTTTCTCCTCTGCAATTCAAATGTGGGCTATTTTGTACTTTCCTTTTTGGCACTCGGGGGGCTTCCAAGGCATGTGCCGGCCTGGGGGCCACAGTGGACAGGGTGGGTATGGGCAGGTGGTGCTCCAAGTACAACAGGAGACAGTTTCCAAACTGGCAGCTGGCAGCATGTTGGGCCATTCCCGCCACCTTGATGTGGCGGCTAGAAGCCAGCTGTACAGATGGGCTGGCTGACACTGCTTCTCTTTATTCCTCTTCATGCTGGACAGTGGCCCACACTGTCTGCCCCATGCCCTCCAGCAGCCAAGCCAACATGGGTGTGAACTGGGTTCGTGTCTGAGAAATGGGGTTGGGTGCTGGTGAGGGTGACAACAAGAAATCGAAGTCCCCTTTCCTACCTCCACAGAGTGAGGTCTAGCAGGAAGACAGGGTTTAAAAGTCCATGGCTGGAGGGCTGATTGCCAAGGTACAGAGCACCAGTTGAAGAACAGGAAGGAGTACAGCCTGAATCTCAGTCTCGAAGCCTCCCATGCTCCTAAGAAGGGAATCTGGGCTTCCAGGGGCATTGTGCTCAAAAGGAAACAGAGTAAAGAGTATTTTAACTTAAAAGTAGGTAAGAAGAAACTGACAAAGTTATGTGTGCTTATGTCACTGGTCACATAGATCGGTAAATATTTGTGGGCCCTCTTAAACACATCATACACCTGAGGATTCAGATGTAAAGGTATATCGCTATAGGATTACCTTTCTTTAATAATTTTTGGGGGAGGGCTATTAAGAGCTTGCAAAAACAGAGAACAAGGCCATCTCTTCCAGAAAGATGATTGTGTGCTGCCTGCCCACACCTCCATCCATAGTAATGCAGCATGAGTTTTGAACAAAAACCAAGTCCAGTGGCAATCAGGATTCAGCTTCCAGCACAGCTTACTGGGGTGCCCACGTGTGCACATCTGCTGTTCATCTGCCTATTCAGAGAGGGACAAGACACTCGCAAGCTGGCCCCTGCCCCTCACCCTCTCTTTCCACCTCCCAGCCAACCATCTTCAATCAAATCCAGACTTTTCTACTCTGAACTCATGGTTGGACTTTGGCTGCTTGTTGGATCAAGGATTCCTTAACTGAATTAATGTAAACCAACTTTAGCCTGGATTCTGCCCATCTTGGCATCCTGTTGAGAGCAGTGCAGATCTTCTCCATGATGCAGGAGTAGATTCAGCCATCTAGTGGGTGAGATACTCCCACTGCCCCCTTCTTGTCTCTCCAAAGGCCCTGTAGAATGATGTTGCTGGTTCAAAGTATGGTTTTTAGGAAGACAGCCATGACAAATAAGGCACACCTGGACAGCAGGTAGAGTGAATTTCTCCAAAAGCTGAAGTCACCATTAGTGTCAACCCCGGGAAAAGGGGTGGTCCTTGTGACTGGACCCCAGCAGGTAGGATCTAGGTAGGCAGAAAAGCCTGGACCATAGGCTCGCTTGTCTTTTTAGGCTTAGACTTGGAGGGAGGAGGAGTCTTTAGTGTTAGAATGATCCCCACTCCCGTGGAAGCACACCAGAAACAAGGAAGGAAGGATGCCTGTAATCCAGCTTGTCTAATAATCGCTTGATGTTTATTTTCCAGTTGTCATCCTCACAGGATGGCAAGGAAATGGTCCTTTCTGAGGACAGAGTGCTCATGGCAAAGACAATAAGAGACC